AATAAAAATTATATAAAAATAAATAAGATAGTCTGGCCCAAGGCGACCGGGGGAGCTCTGCATGCGGCCGCTGCTCATCGTAGAGTTTAGGCCTAAGTTTGCTACATTATTTCGGCTGAAGGTCACTTGGCATCATGTTGAAAACTAGTGAGGAAAGGGTGCTCATTTCGGGTGAGTCAGGCTCAAAAAAGCGTAATCTAATTTCTCGACTTTCGCCGTGTGGAGTGGTTGTTATTGTCGATTCCATCGCCTTGCGCAGAACTACCGTAGATGATATCTAATCGTGTAAAGTTATGGCACGACGATATAAGTAAATATTTCATATGATTATTTATGGTTGCAGATGTGCGCAGTTATATATTCGTTGGTCGGAAGATCTGGAGATGCGTGGTGCGATAGCAGACGCTAGAGCAGTGTTGCGTCGTGCAAGAAGAAATGGGGCGCTGCCGCCGGAAGTGATAGACAATGCAGAGGACCAGTTGGAACTGCGAGAAGTTCGACGCCATCTTGCAGAAGGAGAATGGCGACGATTCATGGGAAGAGGACCCGTTGGACGAGAATGGCGAGCGAGTGGCGTTCACTAGGTTGACAGGTGTGTTCGATGTAATTGTAAGCGACATGAAAGTAATCAACGGTGAAATCGCGTTGAAAAGGCGTTCAAGTAGTGTTTTCGTCATGCAGTTATGTTCAGGAACAGTTATTGAATATGTAGACATGTTTGCAAAACATTCGATCAGGATGAGATTCGAACTCACGCGGGGAAACCCCAATGGATTAGCAGTCCATCGCCTTAACCACTCGGCCACCTGATCACGGCAGCATGGCGCTTACGAGTCGCTCATGTTATTACTGCGGAAACGCTTGCTGACGTGTTACACACCATGTGCGATGCTGATAAGCTCTTACATCACCAAACTGATGACTGCAGGTTTTAATAAAGTTTACATATGGGGCTGAAGCGGGCAGGCCAATGGTGGTGGAGTTGCAGTTTCAAAGGAGAACTGCAAATAAAAGCAGGGTAAACAATTGAATAGCTCTAGCATTGGACTGGTTGCAGAGTGAAAACTTTGTGAAAGAATAATTCTCCTATTCAGTCAAACATGCTGGTTTCAAGCGGGTTGGAAGGAGTTTGTGAGCAAGGTTCACTCACTCTTAGTCAATTTTTTTTTGTTTTTTTTTTTTGCTTTGCTTTCTTGAAAAACACCATTGATTTTTAGTACATATTATAAAAGTTTGGAAACATTGCAAATCCGATTACAGAAGATGTAGACGTTAAAAATTTTGATAGTTTTGGATTTGGGTTGATCGGTAACTTGCTGCTTTCTCTCCTCTCTTTTCGATGCGAAACCGATCGCTAAGGATGCATGCGATTATGTGAGCAGATTCTCCCCACCCCCCCTTGGCTCCTTCGCTCTCAGGCATCACTCGGGTAGTGGAAATGTCTGCTTAGCTGCTTTGTGTGAGAATATTTGCGGACGTGCTTTACACACCATGTGCGTGCGGTGCTGATAAGCTCTTACATCACCAAATTGATAACTGCAGGTTTTAATAAAGTTTACATATGGGGCTGAAGCGGGCAGGCCAATGGTGGTGGAGTTGCAGTTTCAAAGGAGAACTGCAAATAAAAGCAGGGTAAACAATTGAATAGCTGCTTTAGCAGTGGACTGGTTGCAGAGTGAAAACTTAGTGAAAGAATAATTCTCCTATTCAGCCAAATATGTCGGTTTCTAAGAGGTGTTGCAAGCTGTCATTCAGGTTGCTACCTTTTTGTAATATTTTTTTGTTTTTTTTTGCTTGTTTCTCGAAGAAACGCCATTGTTTTGGTTGGTACTTAAATTATAAGAGTTTGCAATGACAGTAAGACTTATAAGTAAATTATAATTTGGTTTAGTTTTATCCTGTTAACTGCTGTTTTCTATCTATTTCCGATGCGAAACCGATCGCCATGTGATGCAGCGCGAAGTTATACGAAAGCGATTTCTCCCCCCCCCCCCCTCCCTCTGGTGCCTTCATTCCAGGGGGGGGGGAATAATAGCTGCCTAGCTGGGTAGAATATGCTAATGGAGGTTAATTTAAAATGAAACATGACCCAGATGGTTCAACGCCTGGTTACTCAGGTTTTATTACCGGTCGGAATGAGGGATTTAGCCCAGGACTGTGCATCGGTGTGAGATGAAGTGTGAAGTGTGAAGTGTCTTGAGGGGTATAACTAATATCGAAAAATTTCCCAAATGATTGCATGTACGCGTCTTTAGACTCACTGTCAACGAGGAAAATGAAACAAGAAATACAACGGATGGGTGGGTAAACAATGGTACGAGCCAAATTTTCGCACCCTATGTGCGAAGTGACCTCATTAAGGCTGACGGCTTAGGGTCACAACACCACCCAGACTTCTCTAATAATCAGGTAAAACGCAATTAATTGAGGAAACAAATCATTCATAATAATAGTTAAAAATACTAATTTATTACACAAATTCATAAACATAATACAGTCTATATGTCTTCCATTCCCCTTTTGCACCACAAATTCCTTAATGGCTCATAATTCGAAGGCAGGAGCAGGGTGAATAACGGTCGAGGAAATCCTCGACCATAGCTCTCTACCATGCGAGAGTAGTGCCGAGAGTGAACATCCGCGCGGAGAGCACAGACGGCACGGCATGGCGAGTGTGAATGTCCGCGCGAGAGATCGTCTCTGACCGGGGGCGGTATTCAATCCTTCCCCCAGGGGGATATATCCCCCAACTCTGATTCAATCCTCTTCAATTCCTGGGGGGACAAAAAAGGGTTGCGTCATAGGACCTAGCATACCTCTGTGTTTCTACCTGCCAGACAGTTAGAGCAGCGCTACTACCCTCCACTGATGAAGCACTCTTTCCCCTGAGGGGTCGCGCTGCTCTAACTGTCTGGCAGGTAGAAACACAGAGGTATGCTAGGTCCTATGACGCAACCCTTTTTTGTCCCCCCAGAGGATTGAATCAGAGTAGGGGGATATATCCCCCTGGGGGAAGGATTGAATACCGCCCCTGAGAGGATTCTCGAGTTTTTGGAATTCCTGCAGCGATAGTCACCTGCATTCAGGTGCTTTCAGATAGTGAAGGAATTCTCGACACTTATACAGTGGGGGGGGGCAGTAAAAAAAGAAAACAGAAGAATTTGCCCCTGGAAACATGGTGCACTGGTCGAGCTCAATGGGGTCTTCGAAGGATCGTGTACCATAACGACCCTTACTGGAAAGCTAGTTCGAGGGGATTTGCACAGTGGTAGCTAATGCCTCTAGAAAACTATCCAACATTAAATCGATTCACGAAATTGCGTAAGAGCTTCAGGCTGAAGCAGTTACGGTAGACCTCCTTGAGCCTGACGACGGTGACAGATGACGTCATATTCTGAAGACGGTGAGGGCAGTGAAGGAGGGCCTGCGTACTTATAGAGGGACACTTAGGGAATACTCTGCTGAGGAACTCCCGTCAACGACGGCAATCTCTGCGAAGAAAAAAGGGCCGAAGTCCGACATAGGCAAAATGTCTTTTTTTGCCCCCCCCCCTCTGTATATCCAAGTGTTGCTGGGGTGAAAACTGTGTGAGGGGCCAAATAAAACGATGAGGGTTTGAAATCTCAGAAAAACTGGAAGGCGCACTAGCAAAGTTTTGCCAAAGCTCACTGTTGTATGTTGCATCTATGCTAGCTTAAATACCTGCCATAACCCATAACCTCTTTCTAGGGTGTTTCGTTTTACCAGGGATCCTACGAAGTGGTATGGGGGGGATGGGGGGTAGCCTGAGCTCTGAAAAGTCATAGAGGGGGCACATGAAGGGCATATCTCTAACTGACTTGCTTGAGGGAGGACAGTAACGTTTGGCTAGAGACATGAGGTTTTCATCGAAAGTATGCGGATATCCTTGACTCGCCTCCCAGCAGGGTCAACCGTCACGTTGGACCGATTTCAGGATTTTTACGACCCCCCCTCTTCGAGAGTCTCCATACGACCCCCCCCCTTATTATGTACGGTACACTGTAAGGAAAAGCTAACACTAGGGGAAGTAAGTGCAATCTACAAAATATCTAAGGACACTTGGCTTGAATTCAAACACAGTAGCAGACGAACTCTAGTTTCCTGATATCGTAATTTACTTATGCATAACATCGCAAAACGGATTGCCTTTATTAGGTGCTGAACAGTACTGCCCATTAGTTTGAATGGCGCTTTGCCTGCCTTTCATGACTTGGCGTTCAGAATCACAAAAATTTCCATCGATATGCAAACGCATCAAAAGGGGAATATTCACAATGATTTCAAGTTGCAAACGAATGCATGGCGCATCTCAGAGCGTGAGAGTATACAGCAGAAGTGTCCGACCGGAGCACGGTAGCGTTGCGTTCGCATTGGCGCGCGCAATCTTCCCCCTCGGCGCAGCGCGGGTCGCGAGAACAGACTATTGACTTTCAAATAAGCGTAATTTTGTTCAATATCAATATTTTTCAAATTGCTAAGCGGATTTGTAATCTACTTAACTGCTTGTTTCAGAGGATCACATCTATTATGCCTTATCTTCAAAAGTACGTCGGTTATGGGGTAGAAAACAAAGAATTTACAGAAATGTGCACTTCTTCATTTGAAAGGTTGTAACTTTCTTCAAAGAAGGAACTATGAGGAGCGGTAAGAAAATTTGGAAAGGTCAGACTGTTTTCTTTCTAAAAAGTGCTCTAGCTTTTGCAAAATCTCTTTCCTCCGAAAAATCGCCCCGTTGGACCGTTTTTTTCGCAAGACCAGGTTTTTTGGCTTTCAATTACTATAACTTTCTTCAAATTCCACCTTTTGCAATTATTGTCCCCCTGGGTTGAAGAAGAAAGTTAGAGCTTTCCAACGTGTACTTGAACTTCTTCAAAGTTGACGGAGTCAAAAAATCGCCCCGTTGGACCGTTTTTGGGAAATCGTGGACCGATTTTTTGGAGAGCGCAGGTTTTTTGGCTTCAAATTGTTATAACTTTCTTCAGATTGAACTTTTTGCAGTTCTTATCCCCCTGAATTGAAGCAGAAGGTTAGAGCTTTCCATTGAATACTTGAGCTCCTTCTAAAGTCGAAGGAGTCAAAGAATCGCTCCGTTGGACCGTTCTTTTTTCACGAATTTTCGGAGCTACTCTCCTGAAAACGCAGGTTTTCAACACTTAAACACTGATAACTGTCTTCAAACTCAATTTTATCGGGAATAATGATACCGTGACATCGCACGAGCTTTGTGCTTCATTAGAGATGCTGAACCTTTTCTAAAGAAGTTGCCGACAGGCAAATATTTTTGTTCCCAAACTTTTCTTGTAGCACTTTAGAAGTCAATCTACCATAGTGGTTACTCTTTTACTAACTTATGTCCAGTTTGAAGGCATTGGTTCACCTCTAGAATTATATTTGTGTACGTGAGCATGGATACTTTCGCAGTAGACTCTTCTGCTCTGGTGTGCGCCATGCCTCGCTTGTGCTCAATATTTGAAGAAACACTCTGAAGTTTTACCTCTCACCTACTGCCGCGGGAACTAAGTCTTGATTCTAATCGTTCGATGGTCCCAGCAAGAGCCAACAACTGCGATCTTCATCACAACGCCCATTAAGTTCCTTATAGCGAAAACCACCTCTCGTCACCTACACCCAAAAACCTCTTCGTACTGCAACGTTGACTCCTGCGAATACGACCCCCCTCCCTCTGGCGCAGCCAAATACGACCCCCCCGTTGGACTTTGTCCAACGGACGGTTGACCCTGCTCCCTCCACTCCTGTTTGCTTGTTTCTCAGTAAAAGTGTTAAGGAGTTTTGTAGTTTCTAATACCTTGCTTAAGCTTTCAGTTATAACTAGTTAGTTGATTGGTGATAACGGGTCATTTTAGATGTTTTTGTATATTTTAGATTGGCAGTATTTTCCCTTTTAAAAATACATATTCTTTATTCATGTTGTTTTTGTTGTATGGTTTTCCAATTTGACTGCCATTTCTACGTGTCTAGTACACATGTTTGGGTGGTGTTGTGACCCCTAGGCCGTCTCCCTTAATGAGGTCACTTCGCAGTTATTCCGCGGAGTATTCTTAATTAGGTGTGAATCGTACCATTCTTTACTGACCCCGCGAGTTTGACCTGCACTGACAGCCGGTTTTTCGGTGGTTTCAACTCACACGCAACACGTTTTCAATTCCATACTAGGGTTAAGCGTTGCCATTAATTATGACGTTAGTAGTGGGTCAAGTAGGGTATGAGGCGGGGGGGGGTCAATTGATGGAGGTTCATGGCTTTTTCGAGTTGCTGCAAGTTTTGCACCTCTATTTGATGTCGTCAGAATCGATTGCAAGCACTTTTGCGATTTAAGTTACCAGCTGTTTTCGGGTCTGACTTTCCATATTCTCGGACAAGTCCAAGATCAGTTGTTTATTCGGGGTATTAATTGGCACCAGATTCGATCTGTAGGGGATGAAGACTCGGACTTGTTTACGTGGCTTGCCGCTAAAGTATTATATGTAATTACTTAGACCGAACCATAGACCGAACGCGCTTCCAAAATCCTTGTGGACCTGAACGGTTGGATGCATGTTGCGTTCAATCGACGTCAGACTACTGCTAATGCATTTTTTGATTCGCAACTGAAATTGCTGGTATTTTGTAGTTCAAGCATATTTCAGCCATTGGAGGATTCATCGGAAGCTCCGGTCGTCCGCCTTCCTTGCATTGTCGGCGAACAAGGCAGTAGCAAATTGGATAGAGGCCAACAGAAACAGAAGCCCGTAAACAATGGAGTGCCAGCATTCCAGGTGATTCATCCAATGTTTTGTCGAAAATATATTTCAGTGTGGACATAAAGTAAGAATAGGAATATAAATTCCAATTCAAAGAAAGCTCATTTCAAGAACATTTTCAGGTGTTTGAAGATGATGGTGACGGTGCTGACAACTACCTGGAAGAAATTTTTGAAATGGATAATCACATAGAACGTTTCTCTCTTAATGATCACGATGCAGAAAAATGGAAAGCAAGCAAGGTGAATCATTTGGCAAATGAGAGACGTCAAAATATATTAATTAGGAAAAAGCTGGACGTCAAAATGAAGATATTCAATACGGAATATACTGGAGACGGTTTACGCTCTAGAACCTACGTTTTGTATGTTCTCATGCCGTTTTTGATGTTGTGTCATTTATGCTTACTGTTCCCGACGTACCTTATCATCTTAAATTAAAAGTAGTCCAAAAACCCGGAGTGGTTCATATACAGAACCAGTGATGAGCCTGGGATAAATGATAGTGACTAGTGCTGTTTACCTTTTAAGTGAAGATGCATAATGTCCGCGTCAGAGAGAGCAGCGCCAAAACGTGCTAGACCAGTCGCCGAATCGCATGGCATTTGCTCTGTGGGTAGTTGGGCCTACTGAGCACGAATACCACGTTTATTGAATGTGATAACGCGTGTGCTATTGAGAGTAGCCACGCTATCCAGTGTTTCCCTACAGAATGTAAGTGGGATGTTTCTAAAGGAATCGTTTGTGTTTGTGTCGATATTCGTTCTCGGCCTACCGAAGCACCTCCGGGGACAGGTTTTAAGCAAATTCAGGTTGAACTAAGCAATTAAATTCTGTGACGTAAAGAGCATGTTTCATTGCATGCGCGTAATCTTTATGGTTAGGCTATTTCGCCTTCCTCACTGCTGCGCTCTTCTGCGCCATCTCAAAATGAAGGGTCGCCAGTGATAGTAGGGGTGCAGCGGTTCAGGTGTGACTCGTCCACACATTGGGCGTGAAAAATGCGTTCAGGCTCTCATGGCCCGTGGAGCGTCAAGCATTGCCAGGCGTCTCGGGATGTGACCTTCGTACGCAGGAGGCTGAATAAACCATGATGACAACTTTACATCTGAATCGAGATTTTGACCCTTATTTCAAAAAAGGACTGGGTGATTAAGGATGGAAGGAGTTCAAAGGGTTATGTGGCATAGGCGATTTGACTGGCGCTTCCCAATTGACTGTCAGTTAGCTTTTTCTAGGTTTTGTAACCATGCTTGCCTATGACTCACGGCTTTTGGATCTTGAATTTCCTGCCTTTTCTAGGTTCCTCTGAAGAAGCTGGGCAACTGCGTGAGTAGCTTCAGCGTTTGGGTGGATGACGAGAACAAGGAGAACAGAGATCCACAAGATGGAGGGAAACCTGTCAAGAAGCCTGTCCTTAAAATGCACAAGTTCCTTGTCAAGGACATGTCTATTGAGGTTCGTTATTATTATTATATTCTTATGAATTTTTTCTTTGATTTTTTTTTCCCCTGAAAAAATCTCCATGATTAGCCATGTGGCTTCACTTATGCTTTTTTTTTAGGAATATCTGGCAAGCAGATATGAGAGCAGTGAAGCCGAAAAAGATATGAAGAAAATCGCAAGAAAGATCGATTTCGACGAGGATTAATTCGAAGGATAAGGGTCAGCCATCCGTCTGGCCGATTTGGACAAGGGGTTCGTATTTGGCGAGTGGGGTATCATGAGTATAAGATAAAGAAAGAGCATTTTTTTTCAAATCCAGGAAAATTAGAATGGATGTCTGAAATCGTCCAACGTCGTGGTTGACCCTGAGATGAGGTGATAGGAGCGGTTTCTTAGCAGTAATACTTATTGTTTCAGCATTTAGTGAAAGCAGTTTAACCCTAACAGAATCGCTAATGACAGCGGATTGTTCCACTTATTTTAACGTTTATTAATCTGAACACCAATCAATCAATATTTGGAATCAC